TTCCTGTTACCAGTGCTTTTGTTATTCGGATGGTCCCTGTTATCAGTTAAGACAAAGTAGGCAACGACCATTTTGAAGTCTCTTCATAGCTTGAGTAAATTGCTTTAATCAAGGGGAGTCAGGAGGATGAAATTCAGATGAGCAGTCTAAGTGAAGAGTCCAAAATTGCAAGAGGAAGACACGGGTACTGCAGAGAAAGCAAACTGAATCCTTGGAAATAGGGATACCTCAATAATCTGTGTCTATCTAATCCCACAGTATAGACGACTGTGTAGAGATTCTTTTCTTCTTACTATGCTTAGCTCCTGCTGTTAAGATTGAATAATATTTAGTAACAAAAAACCTCAGCACTTTCAGAACTTTGTTCGTGCACTCGTCACAGCTCCTGGAGGTTCTTGCAGGCCACAGATCCAGTCTTGTTGGGTAATGGTCAGTATTTCAGGCACTATATCCTTGACTTCAATCCAAAGATGGAAGGAACTGTGGATTTCTTTTCTTCACCTGTCTTTGAGTGGAAACATAACACCTACTTTGCAATCTGAGTTTGCACACTGGTAAATCAGAGTGGATAAAATGCAGCAAGCCATTAGTCACGTTTCAGCTTTGTTCCTTGAGAAGTATCTTCAGTTTTATTCTAGGACAACACAGTTTTTTAATACCTGGAGTTTGGGTTTTTGTCTCCTTTATTGCCAGATGATTATAAGGCAATATAAAGGTTCGTATGGCTGGGTATATAGCCATGCCCATTTTTGATTTGCTTTTCCAAAAGACCAGAAGGATCATGTCTGTCTTTTCATTGCCTAGGTGGCTGACCTTACCTGCACTATCAGCACATCCATAGGGAATTTTTGTCTTCAGTGGTTCTCTCTGAACTCAGCTTGTGTTTGTTTAACAGACTGTATCTCTTTCTCTTTCAGGCAAAACACAGGATTTCAGTATGATGTTATCAGCTGTTTGAATTTGCTGGATCGCTGTGATCAACCACTGACTGTATTAAAAGATATTAGAAGTGTACTGGAGCCAACTAGAGGCAGAGTCATTCTAGCATTAGTTCTGCCATTTCATCCATATGTGGAAAATGGTAAGTACATAGATTAATAGCTATTTAGGCAGCTAAAGAAAACATCTGTAAGTTATAGCATTCCAAATTAAATGTTTACTAAATAATTGGCATGTTTGTATTTGATTTTTACAAATAACTTGGACAGTGCATGTTCAGAAGTATGAAATCATAGGTAAACAGGCGACACAATGTAAGCTGTTTTCTTAATTCCCCAACATATGTTGTTGGCACCAACAAAAAGCTCAACTATTGAAGTCACATATCCTGTTCTGCAGGTTGCCACATTTGAGCTGTGTTGGAGCAACATGGGAAAACTGATCTCTGATTAGGGCCCTCTGCTGCTGTCGTATAGGTAACCCCAGTTGTCTCTAGTGACCATTGAGCAAAACCATCACAACTGTCTGTAATGCTGAATAGAGCAGTTCAGGTCAAACTGTTTCAAGTATTCCAGATGAACCGCACCTAAAAAGTCATAGGGGGATAATGTTCACTTTCCAACATGAGCTCTCAAAGTAAAATATAGACACCCTACTAATACAAAGTATTAACCACTCTTTATATTTTATTAGTAACTGGAATAAAAAAGTAAAATTCAGTGCCAAAACTCCATTATAGTTATATAGTTACTATACTCCATATATATAGTTACTATATATATTATATAGTTACTATAACTCCATTATAGTGCCATTACTCCATACTAGTTGCATTTTAAAGAAATACAGGGGAGATTTTCAAATGAATCTGTCCTTATCAGTAGACTTCAGAAGAGACTAGAAACTTTTTTTTTATGTGCCTATGATTGTGGATTCACATGAAGGCACCCATAGAAGTGGTTTGAATTCCAGAAGGCTGGTGTTTGTCAGTCATCGTTTGGATACTGTCTGTCCTTGAGTATTAAGACTTGTCTATGGAAAGGCATGGATGCCCAGAAAATACAAAACTAATAACCGTAACAATCTGGCAATCACAAATGCATCAGACCGAATCTGTTTTCCTCTTCTTATATGCTAGTGGTATTTTTGCTGGGGGGGGAGGTTGTTCTGAGTGTAAAAAAATAAAGCCATCAGATGAAGAATTGCTTAAAATACAGTGTTTGAGCATATAATTTTGTAACTATTCTGAAAAGTAGTGTGTCTTAAGTGAGGTGGGGGATTGACTTATGCATGTGTACAGTAATTCAAGCATATTTGGTTACAACTTAGAGTTCCTATAATGTGGAACAATATGGCTTCCTCTGTTAAAAATTCTTTAAAATTCCAAATAACAGCAGTGTCTTTCTAGTCTTTCATTGGCATATTAGAAGCAGAAATCGAGAAATTATTTGGGTGGCTTCTTTGACTGTGTGCCTTCAAAACTATGTGCCACTGTGTTTTGCAATCGCTATTGCACCCAGCGTCTACTCTTCTGCGTGTTGTTGGGTAACCACATGACAGACCACATGCAACTTCCTGGCTCAACAGGAGGTAGATAAATTAAGGCAGAAACTACTCTAAGTCCGCTTATATCCTTCATCATTAATCTCCTGCAGTATACTGGAAGAAGAGAAAATTTATAAATCACAAGGGACTGGAAACCTGTTCTGTGATTGTTGAACTCTGTCATTCCTTCTTGTTGAAAGTTGAAATCTGTTGTAAGATGTCTTATAAACCAAACTCATACTTTTGTCTGTGGTGATGACTTGTAGCAGATTAGTCACTTTGCTTAAGGCAAAGTTTTGTTTCCTTAATATGTTCTGAAACTTAAAAACGTATTCAGTTTGTCTGTTTACCACTGTCATGGATATGGGCCCATATAAACTTCTTTAGACAATGCAAGTTAGCACACACAAAAGTTACTGTCATTCCACTGAAGCTTTCCCACTTAAGATCTATTTAACTGTAGTCTAAAGAAATAGACAGTGAACTGCCAGGCTGTCTTTATGATGTACAAATGATTTTAGAATTTCAGTATTTTCATTCAGTGATGATGCATTTTAAAAAGCGTTAGATACATACATATGCTTTATATTTAACAAAAAATATACTTGGAACATTCAAAGAGGAGAACATTTTGTGGCACATGTAATTTCTTGTAGCAGCTAATTAAAAACAGATTGGACCCGCCTAGAGAAACTTTTGAATTTTAGAGGGGGGAACAAATGGAGAAGAGATGAGGCAGGTAAGGTGTTTGATCAGTATATAGAACAGTTTCTAGAAATGGAGAAATGGTTTTAATCAAAATGAGATATTTGGGGTTATTACACGTAATGTAATGGGAGGATAATTGTGGCAACTGTCTAGGTGAATAACATAAAACTTGCTTTAAGAGAACAAAGCAAGGTGGAGGAGGAGGAAAAATACATTTCTGTGCTTACTGTTTCTGGAATTACAGTGACACCTAGAGTCCAAAGTAGCTTAATCATAAATTCTTTCTGGGGCTTTTCAGAGTTTTATTTTCAGCATACAGAACAACAAGTAAGGCGCTTATTGCACATGTCTAAATTTGGCAGGTAAGCCGGATGAATCATAAGGTATTAGACTAGTCACATAAGAACATGTGTTACTATAACTTGATATTTTTAATAGGTATCTCATAGGGTCATATAAAAATCCTTTTTATTTCCTAATACAGGCATCATATTTACATAAAGGCATTATTAGATAATATAATGACTAGACTGGTTTAAGCTTCTCTAAAATAAAAATGTCAGAGACACCATACTTGAGAAGTAGTAAACACTAGCAGCCTGGGATTGTGATATTTTCTTGTTGAACAAATTAATGTGATTGATTGACGGAGATAAGAAGACAATGGTGTGTTTTCCATCTTCCTGAAATACTTGGTACTAAATTGAGCTGGAAGCCCAGTACTGTGCTAGATGGACCCTTGCTTTGTCTCAGTTGTCAGTTCTCATCTCACTGAAGTGAGAAATGCCGTTTCATTTGTTAAACAAAGCCTTGCTTTATTTAAATGATGATAAAAGATGCAGCTGTTCTTTAGTAGGGAGAATGCCTGATACTAACAGTTCTCTTGTAAAAGTGCTGATTTTGTAGATTGGCTAGATAGTAATGGCTAAAAAACAAAAAGTACTTTAAAAAAAAAAGCATACTACCTTGACTATCTGTGTTCATGCTTGTAGCCTTGTTGAACAGGCATGCAAAGGCAAAACTTGGTGCTCCAGGTAATCCTGACTTTGGATGGTAGGACTAGAAGATGGGGGTTGTCTCTCTAGCAAGTGAATTTTAATATTGCAGGAGCAACCTTCTCACTGTGACCACTACTTTCCTTTCCTAAATAGGCTAGGAAGAAGCTCCCATCCCAACTGAGCTTTACCATGATAGTATATGCATATATTTTCTGTTTTTTCTGCTTGCCTGTCTACAGAATACCTAGGTTCTGCTCTGTTCAAGCTGTTGTTAGGACGCAGTAACTGTTGATCTGTATATCTGTTACATCGATAACTATCACATTAACATACTACAACCAGAGTTTCACCTATGAAACGAGTTTATTTTCTGTTGCTGTCAATTATCATAGATCTTTCACAAATGCTCAGTTCATGTAAAAGGAATACATGTAAATTTATGTAAAAGGAATATGTAAATTTTTATGTAAAAAGAAAAAAGACATAGAATTAAATCTAAACTGAAAAAGGAACTTCTATGAAGCATTAGCAGTTATCTTACGATAGATGAAGTCTTTTGCCACAGTTCTTATTCTTGCAGAATGGAAAATGGAAGTAATATATAACATAGATGTAATGTACAACATAGATTTAATGTACAATGCACTTGGTTTTGGTGATCTGTTCAGAAAATACTCCTGAAGAACAGTGCCCTGCAAGGTTTTCTTCTTTCTTTTTAAAGCAAAGGAAGTCTGTGAAGAAGCTTAACTTCTTCATCTGCCCCTTTGCTTGCATGAGAAAAGTTGAACAAATCTGAACCACCGCACATGCTCATCTGTTCTGATAAACAGTGTCATCTTCCAAATCATCCTAGGGGAAAAATGTAGAAGTATTTCATTACTGATGTGAACTTTTTTTTTTTTAAGACAGACAGAATTTCCTTTTTGAGGCAAACTCCATTCCTTTACTGTTTCAGTAAACTCCTTTCTCCCCACTTATCCAGTTGCTTTTGTCCATGTGGCATCTACAGGATGCAAAACATATTTCTTTTCCTCTTGGCTTTTCCTAACCTCCAGGGAGCACAGAGGCAGTAAAACATACTCCTTATTTTCACTGCGTTCATATCTGACGCTCAAACCAAGGACCAGGTCATGTCAGACTTAAAGTCTTTAAAGGGGTAATTACAGAGGAAAACAATTGGGGCTCTGTGGAAATAAATGAAGTAAAAATGTATAGAGGAGAAGTGTTTGACTTTTGTTCTATGTTCCTTTCCGTTTCTCCTTGCAGCTCTGAAGTGGTGCAGTTCATGCTCAGAATAGGAAAGAATTTATACTGTTTCTCAAGAGAAGCACCATTTTTGATGCAGGATTTTGAAGCCATTTTCTTTCCTTGCAAATACATGTGATTTCTAAAGTTGTTTTTTTGTAACTTACATGGCATATGCAAAATTATTGTCATATGGTCACATGAGACTTGTTGGCATAAATTTGGAATGAAGAAATAAGTTGTGTGGCTTTACCCAGTGATGTTGAATGCTTAGTTTAGGCTCTGTAAGTTGAAGGAGGGGGAAATATCTGTAAGAATGTTGTAGAGCTTTTATAACAGTTTTGTTATGTTTCTGTCACCTAGCCACCCAGGGCTAAGGGAGCAAGAGGAACTACAATAGAAATATTTTTCAAAAATGAGCTCTTGATAGTTCTATGTGTTTTACCAAACAGTCCAGAACCACTTGTTGAGACCTCTTCTTGGCAAAACACAAATTTATGGAAGCTTCATTTTTAAATGTACATACATACATTCTATAAGGTATATACGGTCATATATAACTGTATGTGTATGGTCATTTAGAATGCTTTATAATGTTTTTGACTGTTGTGCAGAATACTTTCTTTAGACCTTTATTGATTTAAAAAAAAAAAAGAAAAGTCTATTTCCAGAGTAAATAGAAATGGTATACTCTTAAAAACTGTCAGTCCCTCTTTTTCCCCATAAATTTCAGTACCAATAGATAGATACTTACAGGCTGTTGGCAATGTTCAGCGTACCTCTGCTTTTGAAGTTCTTGGGCAATTGCTTGAAAAATTTTTTGTCCGCTACTGATTTTCTGCAAATTATTTAAAACATTTTAGGTCAGTGCTACATTTGAAAGTGGAGGAAACATCTTTTTCTGCCTTTTATAATTCTGATTTTTTCCCTATATATGTCTTTGGGAATGTTACTGAATAACACTTTAAGAACATACAGTTTGGCAGGCAGAAGAGTTTTAAATTACATTAATATTACATCTCTTAACATAGAGACCTTCTTTAATGGATATTTGAATGTATGGCTTCTGATTTTTATTCAAGGATACATGGTGACAGACGTTCTTAATAGACTTGTTTTAAATACATTAGGGCTTACCTGAATGCACCATTTAAACAACCAAAAAATTAATAGCAAAACCTGTTATTTTCAGAAGTTCAAACAAAATTTACTTAAAACCTAAAGGAAGCTCTGTATTAGAGATTGTCTTTACATAGATTGACTTTATCCTGTGTCCAATTTGTTAAAAGTAAATTAATTAACTATTTAGTTAAAATTGGTTAAATGTAAAATCATTAACTAGTTTTGTACAAATCTGAAGTGAAGCCTTAACAGCTCTGAATGTCTCTTTAACTGTATAATCAATTAATCACAAAAGTGATGCCAATTATACTTAAAAAAGACAGAGGGGAAAAAAAAAAAAAGCTGTGAATCATAGATACAGCAAACAAAGTGATAACATACACAGTCCTCTGCTCTTTGGTCTTCATTCCCACTTTTCCTTAGCAGCTTTGGTTTCAACTGGAGGGAGGGATAATAAAATAAAAAACGATTAAAACATAAGATGAGAAGCCAACTGCTAAGGTAGCAGAACAGTTAAAAGTGTTGCCCTTTTAGAGCACCAAGCAGTTTGTAGATAAACGTCTTTCATTAGATCAGCTCATACCGTTGGAAAAATCAGAGAAGTTTTCAAGCGTGTAAGGCCTTTTTCAGCTTCTGGTAGTAGATGTTGCAAATATTTTTGCTTTGAGTACAGTGGGACCTGTCTGAAGCACTACCCAGTTCTCAAAAATAAACCAACGGCATCGCAGATAGCAGTTTTTTTCCCTGAAAAAGGCTTGATTAATTTTTCCCCCTATGCTACTTCACCTGGTTAAAAGAAAAACAAAAATCAAAAAGACCATCCTGTCTTTATGCTTGGACAGTGATCGCTACAGCAAAGAATGATTTTACCATATCATGCTATTTAGGACTGGGAAGTCCTCATTCTCCTGGCAGTGCCTCATTATTATGTAAAGATTCCAGTTGCAGCTTTGGGTGTTTGTTTTTAACTAAACACAAATTTTGTTCTAGATTTAAAAAAAAAAAACAAAACCAAACAAGTAGATATGTAATTTTTAACCAGGTGCATTCTAATGTGTTTGTTTCCTACAAGCATAAAACTTCTTCCAAGTTTCTGATATTTTTAAGTTTTAGCAAGGTCTCTCTTCTGTATATGTATGATGTATGAATAGAATTTCATTACACAAGTAAAGTCAGTCTGCAGTAACTTTACTGTGGCTCACAAATACTTTGACATTAAATTTAAATTATTTTACTTTTACTGGAAAATCATCCAGAGAGTTGGTGACTTTGCGATGGTAATTTCTAGTTTAGCTTTTTGAGTGTGCCTTGATAGATAATCTCCAACTTGCTGATTAATACTCTCAGGATAATTTTAACTTCAGAATACCTTTTCTTTTAAACACTTTACTGAAAAAAGAAAATGTGCTTGCTGTTGAGAGTACAGGTTTGTGTCACAGAAGAGTCTGCAGATGTGTGCAGCATATGAACTTCAACCAACCACCTCTTTAATCATAAAAGTTATGGAATCTAGGCATGTCCTTTTATTCTCCTTATGGAGATGTTAAAACTGCTTGGATTTACAAAATGAACAAAATCAGAAAAATCACTTTGAGCCTACCTTGTAGATTACAAAGAATGTGAATACAGTAGTGCTGTATAGAAACAGTAAGGATGAGGCGATGATCATGAAGATGAATTTTCCATTGCTGTGCTGCTTCTCTGCTCCTTTATTAAAAGTGAGTGTTAGAATAAAGGACAGTTCTGATTCACATAATTTTCTTAAGATTCTGCATTTCAGCCCCCTTCCTCTGAGGAATTAAAAAGCCTTATACCCATCAACATTCTCTGGTTCATTTTCAGTCTAAATTCCTTAGTAAGATCACTTTTCTTTTGTTTCCCTGAATGTTTGCAAGGGCAATGGAGACTTGTTATTTCTGATTATGAACCCTTCCTTTAGGGGCAGACAGAGAATAGAATCCAGTTTTCTGCTCTTGCAAAGGAATATCTGAATAAAGCTTACAGGCTTTTGTTCAGAAATGCAATTAGATAGAGGAAGGAAGGAATATAGGGCAAGTAATAATCTAGATAGGTTGTTGGTTTTTTTTTTTCTATTTTAGGCACGTAAAACTGAAATGTAGTTAATGAAGTCTCAACTTTCTTAACTAGAAGGCAAATGATACGAAGGTTCGGAACTAAAACTTCTTTCTCAAGTTGGCCCAGTGAATCCTCAGTTCTGAGACCCTGTACTCTGTTGCACGTATTTCCACTAAACGTCGGTTTCTCTACTTCTCATTTTTCTGTTGATACTTCCTTTCTGATAGCCATTAAAGTCTTCATGTAAGAGGATGTAGAGTAACACGAGTACAAAATTTTTCTTTTGTAGACTTCTAGAGTCATTTGCATCATATGACAGAACAATCTAATTAGCAAACAAGGTTAAGATGCTTATTTGTAGAATCCCTCCATGGTTTACTATTAATATTTTAATCTAGTCATACAACTCCTAGGGGTTTTGTTGGTATTGCCATCTTACATGCTGTTCTTGGAAGTGTAAATAAAGAGAGTATTTAGGAAAGTTAATTTCTTTCTTTTAAGATGCTTCATTAACAAGAAATGATCAACTGACCTGTTTTCATTAGTACTGTTCCATCTCCTGTTTGTTTAGAACGGGGTGAACTTGAATCTGAATATGCTATTCCACAGATATAAACAGCATTGTCGTCTATGGTCAGATTATTGATCTGAAGTGAAAAGTTATTTTCTGATACTCGAAATACTTTGTACTTCTGATGATCTGTGCATTCAGGAGTACACAAATCCTCATGTTTATTAGTTAAAAAACGAAACCATAGAACTTGAAGTGGGAGTGAGCACCCAGAGGCAGAGAAAGCACATGTTAGGTGCACAGTGTTCATGGAGTAGTCAGCTTCCTGAAATCTGGGCTGCGTTACAGTGACTTGGCAGGTATCTGCAGCACCTGTTGAGAATAAACAATTGGTAATGTGAGGGACAGTTAAAAAAGCAAGGCACAACCTAAAAAGAAAATAAACTACTGGTTCATTTGAGAAAAGGTGGGAGGAAAGGAGCAAACCAACTGTGTTTCAAACTTGAAATTTTTAAGGTTATTTCCAGCAAACTGTTCTTTTAGATAATTCCTACAGCTTGCCCATGTGTTCATTTAACAGTTTTAGTTATGTGGTAATGTGCTTACCATTCTGTTTTTCTGAAAAAGTATAGAGAAGATTCATAATAGCTAAAATAATGTGAACGTCTCCTTTGGCCCTGGAGAAGACCAAAAGAATACTTTGTGTAGTTCCCTGCCTCAGATTTAGTCCTGAGTGTTTTGGGGACTTGGGGGGCAATGGGCGGGGGGGGGGGGGGAGGCGTGTGACATAGCTCTAGATGCTCAGTGGAGTAGTTCTGCAAGGGTTTCTCTCTCCTCCACTGTTCCTGATCTGAGTCAAGTGACACAGCCTGATGGCAGGCAGTGGAAATGTCGTAAATGGAGACGTTTATAATTTAGCAATTTCATAACATTGATTAGAATTCATAATAGTTCCTAGACATTCTTCTATTTCATCACATATATTGACTCTGGGTTTCTAAGGATAAGGCCACTGCCTGTTAGTTTTGACATTTAAAAACGTGCAGAGAAAACAGGAAGGTTAATCGGAGAAGAGAATTCTAATTAAGGAACTGAAATGTAAGGTTTAATATGACTGGTCTGGGAGATTTTTTTTTTAAGTCCTTGTTGACATCCATAATTTAAATACTGTTTTAGTATATTTAATTTTATTCAAATAAATTGCTTAGTTATTTAAACAATGGAATTGAGATTATTGCAGTGAAAATGAAGGCGGTAGCTTAACAGCACCCTTTACTTCCTAGAAAATAACAAATTAGAAGAAAAATAAACTGAAGTCTCTTAATCTGCTGCTGATAAACAATTTATAAGCCTGTCCACAGTGGACAATCAGCATTGTCCCTTCATCATTTTTCTCACTGAGTGTTTTATGGACCAAATCCAAGCAGATTTAGTGTCTGTGACTTCTACAGGAATAAAATGAAACTCTGCTTCTGTGTCAGATCAACATCAGAGCCGTTCTGTAGCAGCCACAGCAATCTGAAGATTGTAGTAATACAAGCTGTCGGTGTACTTGCACCCTGCGTGGTGAAAGGCAGTAGCTTGTGCTTCTGCAGTTGATCCCCTTCTCTTTTCCACCTTACTCTAGGGCTCTGGGTAGCCTTGCAGAGCAGAACTCCATGGCTTCAGTTCATGAAGATACTCTCTGCTGAACTTCCCAAACCCTCATCCGAAACAAGCACAGCTGCACTGAAACCATGGTGCTGCCGGAGCATTCTTTGCAGGGAAATGCAGTAGGATTTGACCCAGAAATCGTAGATTACAGGAGCATTTTAGACTTTTGGAAGAAAAAGCATTTGCTAACAGTTGTTGAATTTGGAAGTTGTATGAAGATAGCAGAAATTAGCTTGATTCTCAGCAAAACTTTTTACTGCTCTTATTTTGTAGCGATGTTGCAAATTATAACCACAACACTTTCAATCTTGTTTAACTGCCATTACATGGGAAAATATAAGAAGCTTAAAAAAAAAGTCTTACCAGTACTGTACAGAATCCAGTCAAATGCCAGCATTAGCACGTTTTTTAATTTGTTGAAAGATGCCATTTCTTGTATGTCTCTGGAAATGATTCTGCTTGAAGGAGGAGGAACTTAGGAAATCCTTGGAGTTGCAGAACACTCTGAATCACAAGATTTAGAACTTCCTGTTTAGAAGGGTGTTTACTATTGCATTTAGCAAACCGGTTAAAGGTACAGACCAAACCAGAAAACATTTGTTATTTGTGGATGACATTACTTGAAAAATGAGTGAAGAGGTTTAAATTTTGAACTTCTGACTGTGGTACCTATAATCCTTCAGATTATTTCATTGGATATAACAAATGACAACACATTTTCCAGCGTGCTACAAGTGCTCGGCTTCTTAAAGACTGCTTGGGGTCATATAAAATTACCGTATCAGCTAGTAGGTGGCCACTGGAAGAAGAAAGGTTCTGTAGCCATCCATTGTAATGTGATGGTCTACTGATGGAAGCTTCGCAGCAAATCATAATTTTCAACTTGCTGGCTCTATTTACTGTAATTACCTGAAGCCATCTTTGGCCAGACAGTGGGTATAAAGAAAGAATTCTGTAACGCTGGAAAAGATCTTCATTAAATAGTCTGTCCATGTCTGCTGAACACCAGCCTCACTAGTGGAAGTTACTTTTCAGCCACTCTTGGAACTGCTAGTTAAAAATGTACAAAAGATAACCTTAAGAAGGAGCTGCTTCTGAACAACAGGCAAAAACTTGAACTGATCTTGCAACAGCTCTACACATGGCTTGTCATCCTCCTATTTGGAGTGGAATGGAATATAGTCTGTGTAATATGCTTTCTGTAAGAAAATACAACAATAAAGTTTTCTTTATAACTTAAACAAAACTGTTTTGTTTTCTCAGTAGGTGGCAAGTGGGAAAAGCCCTCAGAAGTTTTGGAAATCAAAGGGCACACTTGGGAAGAACAGGTGAATAGCCTGCCAGAAGTTTTCAGTAAAGCTGGTTTTGCCATAGAGGCTTTCACCAGACTGCCATACCTATGTGAAGGTGATATGTATAATGACTACTATGTACTAGATGATGCTGTCTTCGTCCTCAAGCCAGTGTAAGCATGTATGAAGTAAATATCCAGAATCTAAGCCAAGAAGCAGCCTCTGAAAGAGGGTTTGATTTATGGTTACTTAAAGGGAGGGAATTCGGGGGTTGCCATGCTAAATAAATACCATGTAAGAAATTTAAAGGCCAAAATACTAATGTATTTCTTTGTAGTGCGATTAGGAAAAAAAGGTGGTTTTTTAAACAGACTCTTCAGTTGAGAATTTCTTTTTTACCAGCTCTTAAACCAACAATGCATTCTGCAATCCAGCAGTAATGGGGGATATTTTTTTATACTTACCTGCAACAGGGATCAGATCCAAACAAAAGCAATAGACCTAATAATGATGACACTGATACAATGTGAACTGTTGTTAAAGAAATCAAGTGAAATCTGGCAATAAAGTTATCCATTCAGTTCAAGCCTCGTTGAATATAAACTGTTGAAATGGATAATCTTCCATGCTACGTTACTTTCTCTCTTACTGTCATTCTTCACATGTTTTTAATCATGCTAATAAACTTTTTTTGAGATGACTTTTTGCATTAACTTTTGTGTTCATTTTTGTAACCATAGCCACACTTCTCTGCAGCAGCTGCTCTTTGTGTTGAGAATCGAGCTCTCAGTAGTAGCACAACCTTGCGTTTATTTAAACAGCATTTAAGTATTGTTTAAGGGGTAACAGTCCACAAAAAAATGTATCACTTTTGGTTGGGTTTCCTTCATGTTCCTCTCAAAGCCTCATAAATCCTCATTGCTTTTGCATATGCCATTTTCCAGCTAAAGGGGTTATGGTAGAACTTGCCAAAACTGCACTTCAAACTGATGGCTTTAATAACAAAGTTTCTAAGTGAGCTGTTCCCAAAAGTTTTCAGCTTAAAAAACTTGCAGGGAGTTCCTTGTAAATTTTGTGAGTCAAGCTGCCTCTGAGGGTCAGGCTATAGGGACTTGATTTTAAAGGTTTTGCTAGCTTGGGACATGTTCTCTTCTTCAGGAACACTAAATAAATGCTATTTATTTTAACATGTCTTGTTTTAAAAACTGTGTTTAAAACGGATAATTTCTGGCAGTTGGGATATAACCTTCCTTTAAAACAACAAGCGGCATCATAAGTAGTACAGAACTGGCAGGTGTATGTCTTGCGTTGCTTGGGATGTAAGTGTTGTGAGAGAGCAGAGAAACCTCAGCTGGTATATCAGCTGGTAAGTAAAGTAAGAATTGACTTATCTTTTGCTTTTGAAGTCTAAAAAAGTTGTGTGTTGTGTTTTTTGGGTTGGTTTTTTGGTTTTTTTTTAATGAGTGGTGATCTTATGCCAGGTAGGATGCTTCAGTGTGTCTTTTTAGGTTTACCTTGGACTTCCTTTGCCTGATGGTTAGTGACTTCTCTTGCTAATTTAATAGCCTTTTATTCTCAGTCATCTTTGTGAAATAGTAAGTACTCTCTAGTATGGGGCAAGGGGTTTGGTGAGTTTTTTTTCAACAGTAATTCAGGCTCAGTATTCTCGTTTCAGCATGTGCTGTTGAATTTTGGCACAGAGTACAATCAGATTTGTCTGTTGGAAAAATGAGCTATATGTGCTTTGGAGTGAATCCGTTCATTTTTGTTTTGTTACCTTCATTTGTACTCATCTAGTAGTGGGAAAATATGTTTCTCAATGAATTTAGCTTCATGTAGCAAATATGTATTAAGACAAAATTCTTCAAAGGTACTTAAGTGTTTTAATTCCACTGGTTAAGAATCACACAAGAGACTATGCATTTCGCATCTCATATCTTTTAGTCCTGTCACTTAGGACTTCGTTTTGTGATAGCTTTGAGAGGTTTTGGGACAGAAAGTGCAATATAAATAATAGGGGTTTTTTTCCTTTTGATTTCCTATTTTGTTCCCTCTATTTAAACAAGTATTCTTATACTTGAGATGGGGAATTAAAACACTTATTAAAACATGAGCAATAACAGGGAAAAGCTATGAACAGAGTAAGCTTAAATTCTAAGCAACCATGAAAAAAATTCAGCAGGGTCAAAAACCTGCTTAGTCCTGTTGAATGTAGAGTAATCCTGAGGGACTGTACCTACACATGTACTTCTAAAATCAGAGCTCCTTGCAAAGGAGGGGGCGCAGCATGGCTCATTGTGTCAGGGAAGGGACTTCTTTCTCTTTCCAGACCTTGAGAGTGCGCTTGTGTGTAGTTAATGTCTCTCACACATCCTGTGCAAAGACACTCTGGAGTCCAGTAGTTGATTAAATTGCCTGAAATGCCTTAAGATGTCATCCAAGGGGACAAGTGTTTGTTGCAAGTCCCATGTCCAAATTCATTACTCCTGGGCTTGGGGAACCTGCCTCGTCCCTTCGCTGTCCCTATGCTGCTGTGGGTGGCGGTGTGCAAGTCACACCTTGGTGGTCTCACTTACGTGCAGTGTTTTGCCCTGGAGAGTAACTAAACTATCTGTTCTGTCAAGGTGGCACTGGATGTGTTGCATCGCAGGAAAAAGATGCTGTGCAAGGGCATGATTTAGTCGGACACTCTCAACACAAAGTTGGAACAAATTCGTCTCACAGAAACCACAGCCCCCTTTTGCTGGGTGATCCCAGGTACAGTCGGTTCGCATTCTGCTCCGAGGAGCCCAGGGCCACCTGCCCGTGCTCGGGGTGGGGAGGTGGGGGGAGCACGGTGCAGGGCAGCGCCAGCCTGGCCCTGTGCGTTGCCCCCAAGCAAGTCGTTGAACTCTCTTCATCTTAGGAGGGGAAACATCTTCTGCCTGCTATGGGAGTCCCTCGCCCCCTGAGCCCCCCGGCAGAGAAGACTTTTTCCCCTCCCCTCTGGCTGAAGGCTGGGTGCTGCTGGGCAGACACCTGAGGCTGCGAGGCGGTGCTGGCCCCAGTCCCTGCCCCCTGCTCTCGGGGTCCCTGGCTGGAGCTGCCCAGCTCATTGCACCGCAAGCGCGGGGAAGGAGGCGCACACGGCAGAGACAGGTAAAGGGCCGTGGGGTCCTGGCTTTCCCCATAGATGCCCCAAGAACCCCATCTCTGTTTCTTCTCTTCTCCCTCCCCTTGCTTCCCCCTCGCCCTTGCCAGCCTGAACTGCTTGAGGGTTCCCTTGCTGCTTATAGGGCTTTTTTGCAGAGGTGCTGAGAGCCTGGCTGCAAGGGGGAGGACGGGCACTGGCGGTGCATGGGCTTATCAGCAAGACTTCTGATTATAAGATTAGCTTTCTGGTTATCAAGCTTCAGATAAGGCAGCGGCTGCATTGGAGTGAGTGATAAAATGTCTAGGATTTCTTTGGAAAAAAAATCGCATGGAAGAGCAGCTGTTTGGGGAGCAAGGGGAGAAGGCAATCTGGAAGCTCCTCATAACTGGAGAGTCCTGCAAGGCTGACATCTCAGAGATCTGATCACAGCCTGTGCTGCTGGATGGGATCTGCAGAGATCCCCACAGGGTGATCTGGGGTTGGCTAAAAGCCGCAGTGAACTTCTGCAAACGGACTAGTTTTACTGGCAAAAGGAACTATTTCATCCCGCAAATTGTCTTATCAAGCAGAGCTATTTCACAGCAGAGTTTTTTGCAGAAAATTTTGCTGATCGTCCATTGGAATTAGTCAGGATAAAACAGCACTTTCCTTAGCATTTAATCTCCTTCTATATTAATTCAGCATGCGTTAATTAAAATACACTCCCCAATCAAAGTGAATGAGTTGGAATAAACAAATCAGGATTGACATTGGTAGTATGATTTAAGCTATGCAGAGTAATCAAACCTTACTGCAAAATTAATAGGGCAAAGGCAGAAACAAACACAAGAAAGTTCATTGTCTAGGAAACCAGATACGTCTGAATGAAAGACATGTACTGTGGGCTCCCAAAAGAATAGCTGAAAAGGGTTTCAGTGTGCGCAAGAACAGGACAGAGGCGATAGCTTCTTAAAGTCTAATGTTTGAATTTTTCATCTTCCGTCAGTTTGAGTCACTCCTGTTACA